TTTTGGGAACGCCGGACCCCCATGAGCAAAAAATTCCGACCGGATTTTGGCAAAAAAAGTCAGTTTTGATTTCGTTCAAAAAATATAATATGTCCGTTTTGACGAAATGGCTGTTAGAAGGTAAATCGTAACCAAGGGGGAAAAAGATCAGGGAAGGGAGAGAGGAGGAAGGGGTTCGATCATGGTGTAGCATAGGGTAGTGGTATGTGTATTTATCATGAAAAACATGTGGACCCAAGCCATCACAACAACAAGCACAAGTGCGGTAAGTACGTCATTCCCGATGCATCAATAGGCCAAATACCGAGTCGATCCGGTGGTCTTACTACAGTAGTTCACGTTGGTCTGATCCGGCTCCGTGGCGCAGCCATGGGAGTCGACCCATTGGCAGTAGCTAGAGGGGTGAGCATCCCTGTGTGTGTCCTGTATATTCCCATGACGTGTCCGTCATGCACTCCACCTACACGGTGGTACGCCAGTGTCCGGTCATATCCCAACAATACCATTCCATAGCCACTCAACTCGATGTACCTTAATGTGGAATTGACTGGATGGCTGCATTGTCCACACGAACTCATTTATTCGAAGCAATCAGAATATAAAAGCCCGTAATTATCTGTGTCAACATGCAGTATTAATGAAAGGATTAAAGGTAATCACTACATATCTCTGGTTCATGATGAGAAGGAAAAAATCAGCGTGGGCAGGGTACGATCGAACATAAAGGGTCAAGCGGGAGGCGTTTGTATGATCAATCAGGGTTAAAGGAGGGGGCGTACAGGGTTCCTCGGATACTCGAGGTTCAATTGAAGCAAGGGGGACAGCAGAAGACGGGAAAATTTTTATCCAAAAATGGGGGCCGAAAGTATTTAGTAGTATACAACGTCCAAGGATACTAAAGGCAAGGTCCAATTGAATTTCTTCAGGAGGGGGTCTGGGCACGGGGGGGTTTTGATCATTGATAAGAAAATCATCACACCTTCATGGATCAGGTTAATCAGGGGAGATTCGATCGGGTTATGTCATACATACAAAGGGTCAATCCAGGGCGCGTTCTGTCACCAATCTGGGCGGGAGGGAGGGAGACGAAAAATATGAATTCCATCATAGCGAGGAGATCCCAGAAGTATCCAAAAAATTCACCAAAATGATTCCCAAGCAAAACAATCATTCTTAGGGTGAAGAGTAAACGAGAAGTGATGCAATCAATGCAGATGAAAAAAGAAAGAAGAATCCCCTACTAAAGCGAGAAGATATCATTCAATCGAATCCAAACATATTCTATAGTTTACCAAGATGATCGTAAAAACCACAATCCTTAATATCAACCAGATGAACCGATGCCCAATCCACGGGCTTCGAGATTAGGCTAGGCAGAACGTCTGGGAAAAATAACGATGGGAGCTCGGTCGAACTTCATGGAAGGAATAACGCCGTAGGAGGGGTGTGGCTCCCCTAAAAACTTTTTCGTCGTTGCCACTCAACCGGCTCATCAGAGGGGTTAAAAACCTGCAAAACAGCACATCCATTTCACAGTCCAACACAGACAGCCATATCCCCTTCCACACACATACAGAGAGGAGATTGAGGACCATGTACCGCTTCTTCCGCCGCGATATCCTCCTCAGGTTCCGGCGTGATTGGTAGGTCCTTCTCCGCTCCAGTTGTGAACTCCGTGTCTGCCATAGCCGAAGCCTCCGCCCGCTTCCAAGGTCCTGATCCACCGCAGTTGCACTAGTATAGATTCCGTGTGATGCACCTAATCTATTCAGTTCTCGCACCTCAGGGATCCGCCCATCAAATGCTTGCTACTCACCAGGGATAATGATTGCTATATATACTCAAAGGAAGATCTAACAGGGTACAATCTATCAGGGGAGGGAGATCAGTTGCATATCCGTGGTCATAAGCATACCCCCAACATCAATAGTATCCGTGCGGCGGGTGCGTGTCATCGAGCTCCCTTGCCGAGGTACGATGGAATCAAGAACCTATCCAAGTCCATCCTTCCTGGGGATCGCTGATTAGTCGCTGGAGATACGGGAGATATCCCCGCGCCCGGAGCGACACCTAGTGGAGGGTTCCATCAGTGCTAAAAAAGGCTAAAAGATAACAAAAAAGACAACAAAGGAGGAAAAGACAAAGGAGGAAAAGACAAAGGAGGAAAAGACAAGGGAGGAAAAAGACAAAGACAAAGACAAAGGGGAGGAACCAGAAAAAACGAAAAAAGAAAAACCGAAAAACCGAAAGAACCGAAAAAACGAAAAAACGAGATGGGTTATCATCTAGTCCCTCGGGAAGTATCGAAGGCGGCTTGGGGAGATTGCCAGTCCGATCGATACATCCAGGGCTCAAGGCCCATTTCCTAGTGAAAAGCAGGTCTCAATCCATTCCACTCGTGGTTACCGTACTCATGACTCCTCGTTCAAGTGGGAGGCAGGTATTCCCGTCCATTCGTTTTACCTGTGATTGTCCCTTGATTGGGTTCTCCCGTGTTTTTTGGGGATCCGCCCAGATATCCCATGATTGGGGGATATCGAAGGGTGATGAGGCACCCTCCTGTTTGGTGCGTAGGTCCAAGGCTCGAGACTCGTCGTTTTTCTCAATGAGAGGTGGGTTCAGGGGAATCTGGTCGGTTGCTCTCCACTCCTGTTCGTTGGGGGGTCATAGACGGGCGGGTCTGTGGGCCCATGCCTACTTGTTTTGCCGTTTCCTGGTTCGAGCTTGGTCGAAGAGTGGGGTCCTCATTTCGGGGTACCAGTCCGCTCGAGGTCGGTTTATACTTTTACCTGGGTCCGCAGTTTCCAGGGCTTCCTCCCGAGCCTCCTCCTGTCGCTTTGTCCTTCGAGGGGTGGTCTCCTAAATTCCTGTGTATATGTGTGTGTGTGTGTGTGTGTGTGTTATGTTTTTATTGCGAGGCTCCTGTGACTACATCACAACATGTTGCGTCATGACTCGTGCTTCTATGAACAACATCCAAACAGCATCGCACCACATCAGGGAGGCTCAAAAAGTAATGATGGTGGATGATACAAGAAAGAGCAAAGGCAGAGTATGTCCCGTAGCCATACTACGGAATGTTCAAGACATGGGAATACACAAAACCGCCCTGGTGTAGACGGCTATCCATGCAGACAAGGGACATTCACGAACATAAGCATAGTGACAAGCAGGCCCCGGTGAGGGGGGGGAAGTTTTTGTCATTAAGGGGGGCAGAACGCACCAGAAGCAATCAGACTTGACAAGCTAACACTAGAATCAGCACAAGGTTCGAACAAACATTCAATATAAGTCAATCAACACATTCTTTATTGATCAAATTTGATCGACAAGGCAGGAGTAGTCCTCGACGAAGGGAATACCATTCACCCCGGAGAAAGCAACAGCCTGGCAGCTCAACCAAACACAGTCAAATCTTATCTTCAGGCGGCATCAAAAGGTCGATCAACCACGCGGAATGCAAAACAACACCTCCAATATTAACAAAATGCAAGGGGCTATGACGTCATCATTCCCTTGTAGATGTGTGATCAAGGGAGCCTCCAGAAGACAACGTCACGTTGTCATGGCAAGATCACCTCAAACATCTTTGCACATCGTCACAACTACACCCCTCCAAAGACGCGTATAAGCACAGACACTACACCGAGCGGGGGCAGCGTGCCCCCACCCATGTCATTCACACGAGGGACTCAGAGTCGAATCCTAGTGGAGCCAACCAACCCCTCCACGCCGCCATACCAGGAGTATACTCCATATCCCTTAGTAGGGCGGAGCCCCTCCACCGCGTCCTTGATGTACACTTGATCCGACACCCAAYGAGGCAACATAGCATCACAGATTCACCAATCCTCATGCGACACGTACAGATAACCATCACCCTTAATGAAAGAATCATCAGCTGCGCTCCCTTACTCTGAAAAGTTCAGTTGAGCAAACTGTGAGGGAGAGCCGTGATCTCTCCTCCCCGCAGTGCCGTACCCCTGTTCACCGTTCACGGGGGTTGTGAACGGGGACCGGTCACCGTTCATGAAAATCGTGAACGCCGGTAGTTCACGGTGAGCGGGAACTCCGTTTTTTATTTTTTTTTGCCCGGTAGGGGTACTTTTGTTTTTTACAGACGTGTGGGGACTGTCGAGGGGCACGTGCCCATATATATATATACTTTTTTTTCGATCGGATTTTTTTTATAATTATTTTTGAAAAAAAAAATCAAAAAAATAATAAAAAAAAAGAAAAAAGGGGGGGGGCATTTTCACGGAGAGAGGGATGAGGTCCCCGGGCCCCGGTCGTTGTTTCGGTGGTGCAATAAAGCACCGACCACGGCCGCCATTCTGCAGAGAGAG